GATCATTTCCAGAGGGAACCGCGTGGAGGTCAACCTGACATGGTACATATGTCAGGTGGACCATGTTGTATCATAAAAAAATAAAAAATAAAAATTTTGTCTAAAGATAAAATAAAAAATTTAGGGGTGGACTACCCCTAACATTTAGGGGGATGAAAAATAGATGTTGGCCGATTCTCAGACCTACTCAATACGCTCACGAAATTTCATCGGTCAAGCCGTTTCGGAGGAGTATGGGAACGAAAACTGTGACACGAGAATTTTATATATAAGATTACAGTATAACAAGTAAGAGGCATGCGATAATCAACATAAAATTCGCTACGCACACGATTTATAATAATCATGGCTTCTGGTGATATATCCGTATATTATTGTACCGTTCAAGATTTGTTTTATGGATGATAATGAAATGGTGCATGTGCCTGCGCTAACGGTTTACGCTGGAGGACACCATTGGAGGAACATAATATGAATGTGAGGTCAGGAAAGTTAGCCCATCATAACACCTAGAACAGGTTTAAACATGGTATAAACGATACATTCTTTATTATAGACACATAGGAAAAAAAGACAGTTCTACAATAAATAATATACAAGAGTGATCTTATCTCTAACAAGACTGCTTCCAGCAAATCTAGAAAATCTTATAGAATACCGTGTTAATTATACGAAATATACTAAAAAAGATTGTACTGGAGTCAGAAAGACTAATTTATCTATAATTCCAGTATTTATACAATTACACCCGTGATACCAGCTATATGTTTATATTTTTGAGGACTAAGATGTTAAAATTATTATTGAGGGGAAAATAGAAGGAAACAGGAATTGAGGACAAAATGGGAGTCGTGACGTATCAAGAATTAAAGAGCATGATGGAAGATCGCGAAAAGTGGCAAGAGCTCCACCGACAAGAGCGTAGCTCTTAAATTATGAATGAATGAAGATGTTATCCTGTAATTTCACTCAATCGCATCCTGGAAACGAAAACAGATTACAAAAGCAAACTGTCTGTTCGAAATAACTTTTAAATTACGCAAAGGATTTCAATGCAGTTTTCAGCAATAGATAGAGTGAGTCAAGAGACAGGTTTATATGTATAATATATTATAATATATTATTATATATATATGATATATATGCTTCTGTTCAGGTTGCGAACACTAATTAGATTTTTTGATTTTTTTTATTTTTTTATATAGCATATGCTGGTGGTCACTCTATTCTCCCAAATTTGAATTTAAATGAAATAGTATTATTGTAAATATGTACAACATTAAAAAAAATACGAGCTGAGTTTCTTGTCAGTTCTACTCATCTCGAAATCATTCCGAACTGACGGTAGATTTGACATATCATAAGAGTCTGTAATAGACCTACATGAATAAAGTTATTTTGTATTTAGAATTTTGAATGCGTGATATAGTCTAGAACAAAGCGAGAAAATAGATTTATTTATGACTAGATTCAATACTAAATACCTTATCCTATTAATATTACAGACGCGAAAGTTTGTGAGTATGGATGTTTCCTGCTCTTTCACGCAAAAACTACTGAACAGATTTTGATGAAACTTTACAGTAATATAGCTTATGCATCAGATTAACATATAAGTTATATTTTTTATTGAAATTTAACGCGAGTGAAAACGCGGGCACTGCTTATTATTAAACTAGCTATACACGCGACTTCGTCCGCGTGGAATTTAACTTTATTTTTCTAAAATAAAAGTAGCCTAAGTTACTCCTTATTACATCAGTCAAATGTAAAGTCAAAGTCGGTCCAGCCATTTCATAGATTAGCCGGAACAAACAGACAGATAGACAAAAATTTTTAAAAATGTTATTTTGGTGTATGTACCCGTATTTATATTCATATGCATATAGTACGGTTATTTCAATATTACAATAAGACACTCCAATTTTATTTATATGTATAGATAGATGTATAGAAGCATCTTTCCCAAGCCGGGACGCCAGACATATATAAATTTGCTATTTTAATATGTTCATAAACATGAATCAGAATCCGCGCTTTGTTCGTTCTGAAACTACCCTTACTCTTTATAATTGAAACCGGGGACTGGTGTGGATTCCAGACCGGTCGCATTTACACTTAATGAACCTCAAATTTTTAATGTACTTACATTGTTATACATTCGACGTGAAATAAAATAAATGATTCCTTTTATTTATTAAAACTATTGCCTCATACAAACACATCTGATTGTCTTTTACTGTAATTTTTCATCTATACATACAAATAAAATTGGAGTGTCTGTTTGTAATATTGAAATAACCGTTTTTTACTACATGCATATGAATATAAATACGGTACATACACCGAAATAACATTTTTTACAATTTTTATCTGTCTGTCTGTTTGTTCCGGCTAATCTCTGAAATTGCTAGACCGATTTTGACGGGACTTTTATTGGCAGGTAGCTGATGTAATAAGGAGTAACTTAAGCTTTACTCTTTTTAGAAAAATATAGCGGACGAAGTCGCGGGTACAGCTAGTTACAAATAATAATATAAAAGGAGCGTATATAGTTAAAAATATTATAAGCTTGATATATAAATGGATAAGCTTTTATTGAAATAAACTTATTTTAAGCATTTCTTTGTGTTTATATATTAATATTTGTTTCTTTGTTTGTAATACTTTATTGTACAATAAATTATGTTTAAAAGGACGCAACTACTTATATAATTAATGATATAATAGCGGAATTCTGTTGATGTTTTTTTAAAAAGAAGTTACACAACTTGTATATTTATGTTGTGTGTACAAATTACCTACAATACTACATGTACAAAGACATGGACATTACATAGTCATATGTCATTAAAAATGTCATACTTTCGTTCCTTGACATTTCACTACCATAGCTCACTCCGTAACCGAAATACCGCTTACAAACATAGGTACAATAAAAGGAAACATTGAATAACGAAATCACTTTGGTTTCAAGAAGTTTTTTTATATTTTTTTATTGGGGGATTTGGGCTATTGTCAGGTGCTTGGACCTACATAGCTTGCACTGCGACCTACATAGATCTATTGTGCTCGCCCTTGTTCAGAGTTCGCTACCTAGACCCGTCAGGGACAAGAATTGAAGGATATTCAAGAAGTAACAGTGAATTTAAAAAAATAAAAAAGATTTTTTATATTTTTATTGGGGGGTTTGGGCTATCAGGTGCTTGGACCTGTAGCACTGCGACCTACATAGATCTATTATGATCGCCCTTGTTCAGAGTTCGCTACCTAGACCCGACAGGGACAAGAATTGAAGGATATTCAAGAAGTAACAGTGAATTTAAAAAAATCAAAAAGTTTTTTTATATGTTTATTGGGGGGTTTGGGCTATCAGGTGCTTGATCCTGTAGCTCTGCGACTTATATAGATCTATTGTGCTCGCCCTTTTTCGGAGTTCGCTACCTAGACTCGGCAGGGACAAGAATTGAAGGATATTCAAGAAATAACAGTGAATTAAAAAAAAATCAAAATATCTTTATTCATGTAAAGTCCATTACGGACTCACGACGAGTCTAATTAATCTAGGTTTTTTATGTGTGATAGTGTAACAATTACACTATTACATACTTTGTGGATACCCTAACGTAATAGCTATAGTACATTATAATTATAAAAATAACAATTCCATGTACCTACTGGTAAAAGTATGTATTATAATGAAATAATAACTATATAGCATTAATTTAACTATGTCTCTAACACAATTCACTTTAGCATTTAAAATACAACCAGCACATCCTGTGCTCAAACACCGAATACCGAGTAATAAAGAAACTACCTTCTTTTAATATTTTTAAATTATCGGATTTTTCTCCAATATCGATGTGAACCCAAACATAATATATATACCCTACAGTGAAAACTTCTGTTAAAAACTTACCCTGTATGAAATCGCAGGGAGCCTAAGAATTTATAAATCCAAACATATTAATATAAAAAAAAACTGTGAAACAAATAAAGGAGAAAAAAATACATGTAAGAATAAATCTTAAGTCTAATCCTACATGACAAACATTAAAAAAAAAGTAGTGGTAGGGCATGCTTCAACATGATTCATCATGATAAATTCTCTATAACCAATATTTATAACGTACTAGCTGTGCCCGCGACTTCGTCCGCGTGTTATTGTGACCTTGACTAAATAAAGAAAAAATATTAAATAACCTAACATAAAAAATGAAAAGTAAAAATCTTTTATCATTAAATCTTCGAAAATGATGATTTCCGTACTAACTTTCATCCCCTATTTTATTTTAGCCCTTAAGGGTAACATTTTTACAAACCTTGAATGTCATATATATTTATATTTAATCAACAATAAAAAATAGGTTACAATCTTCCAGTTTTAAAAATGACAATACTTCCATATAATATTTTATCTCCCCTTTCGACTCCTAACAACCCTTTTTCGCATTAAAAAGTACCCTATATCCTTTCACAAGGACTAGACCATCTGCGTACCAAATTTCATTTAAATCTGTTCAGTAGTTTTGGCGTGAAAGCGAGACAAACAGAATTACATTCACATTTATAATATTAGAAAGAATATGTTATTTATATGTACTTTGATAATGTGAAGTATAAATATAAATGTTCTACATATAGTTTAAAATGGCGCCGTGTTGGTGCTAGCGAAACAATATATTTGCATCTAGTCTCAGCCACAAGCCTCCACTGTATCCATGCTATAAACTGTAATAGTTCAACTCCCACGTCTAAATAATTTAACCCCAAATTACCACACATTATAATATACTGACATAATCGGTGTGGTATTCCCAAGTGCGTTTTAATGATAGTATGATTATCACAACGCTCCAAATTCTGTTTAGTCACTTATCTCGGAAAAAAGACCATGACCTTCGCCAGTAGTGAAACCCGCTAATGCCTATGTAGACCTCGAAATTCAAGTTTGGGAGTCGACAGCGGCATCCGTAGCCGGCAGTCGCCAACCGACCGTCGACGCGAGTGCTTGTCTCCCCCCGCGCTCAGAGCAACCCCACATCGATCCCTCGAAAGTTGTAAAAGTTTCAAGTGTTGTATTAGTGTATATATCCATGTAGAAACTGTGTATGATGTAGCATTGGTGTGATGGTTGGTCGTTTTGGTGGGAAGTGGATTAACGAGTTACCAATGGCAGTGGCGAGGTAAATATTGATATTGAGAGGGATCAGACCCTCGAACGAGTCCTGTAGAACTCCTGAACAGTAGCCACTTCATAATTATTTGTACAGTCATTCAACTAAATCATTGTATTTTTTCACTCGACATTCTGTAATTTATATACTCTACAAAAAAAATCAAATTGCAAAAGAAATGTTATACATAGTTTAGTTTCTAAATCTATAATATATAAACTGCAAAATTGAATTAAAATTATGAAGGCTAATTTATAAAAAAATTCGAAAACATTTTTTTTTATTATTATATTTATTAATACACGAATTAAGATCATTAACAGCAAATAACAAACATATCTAAAAGTTATAAAGTTCTGACACATCAATTCTGTTCTTACATAATTACAACCGCGCTACTAACAATGCCTACGTACAATACCTGATCAATAGTCAAATAGTCAGTGCGTAACAGGGATTACGAATTAAAATTATGTTTTTATATTTCACCAATTCTAAACGTCCTTACGTAAGCTTTCGGAGGCCGTTCCCCGCCCCCACTTATGTAACTGTCCGTTTTGGTCGGAATTTTATCTTCGGATTCAATTTTAGGGAATATTGAATTCGCTACTCGCAAGAAAGATATCCGTTGACGACGAACTAGCAGTTCTATCCAATAATCTTAATAATATTATAAACGTAAAAGTTTGTGAGTATAGATGGATATTTGTTACTCTTTCACGCAAAAACTGCTGAACGGATTGTGATGAAACTTTACAGTAATATAGCATCAGAATAACACATAGGTTATACTTTTAAAATAGATCTAAATTGGGCGAAATATAATGATCAATGACATGCAAGTGTAAGTCAGCTAGTATTATAATAAAGTTTGAGAATAACGAATCTATATATAAAAAACTATTTGAGGAATAAAAATTATGTTCTCTAAATAAAGAAAAAAATATAATTTCAACAGAAACAAAACCTGTCTGAGCTCCATAAAACTTCACATAAGGTAATAATAAAGTTTGAGAATAACGAATCTATGTAAAAAAAGTATATTGTTCTCAAAATAAAGAGGAAATTTAATTTCTAATTTCTTCAGCATTTCTGAGCTCCATGAAACTTCACGTAAGATAACCCGTCTCGGTGCACGCGGTCAAATGCGGATCGTTAATTCGCTAATGTGAAAAACATTAGTAGAACACTGCACCGTAAGCTTCTGAACCCTACCTGTAATGTGTTGCTTTAAAATCTTTTTCTTTCGATAATTACTGTACGTTTAGATAGATAGATAGATAAATTGTTTATTCAACAATTACAGACACATAACATACATGAGATACAGAAAAAGATGAATTAATAAAACAAAAGTAAGTGACTTTAAGTGCCGCAAAAGTGAAAAGGCAGCCAACTCAGCCTAATGCTACAGATAACTCTGCAGCGCTGATATTCTGTTGGCTCCTTACTTATACTATGCTTATTACTAAAAAATTACATTTGTATTAAGCTTTAGCTTTATATCAAAAATCTTCTCAATTGGATCTAAATACTGAACTGGACGGTAGGGAAAAAAATAAAATTATAATGTAAAAAATTACACGTTCATAAGCGACTAATATGTCCTACTTAAATGATTTTTTTGTGAATTTAAAAAATATATAAAAAGTATGAATAAACTGTAAATACTGTGATGAATTATGTCATTAAACTACATAAATAATAAGGATTACACGTATGGTGAAAGGCTCCGTGAGACTGAAGATAGAACAAGACAATATTTACGGACTAAGTTGGATAAGCAGCTGGTTAATAAAATTCCGCAGATAAGAGACCTATTTTATTCCACGGCATTTGTATGTATTTCCACGGCACGTAGGTTTGTTTGTACGTGTTAAATCAGAGTATCAGTTCACGCTATCCTCTAATGCAATCGAGCTACGCCCTTGATTGCAGCTCTCAGTAGCATTATCAATGAAGATGCACTGCAATATACTCCAATAGAATTCATTGCACGATCGGTCTCATATAGGTCTATATCACAAAGGGATACGTCAAGGTTTAATATTTTAAAGCTATAAATATCCAATGACTCACTTGCAAATGAGGATGAGAAAAATGTAATAATTTAGGTCTGAAAAACAGTTTGGGAATTCATCCACACGCCAGAACCTAAGTGGTCTCAGGCAGTGCGGTTTCCAAATAAGGATGAATATAATGTAATAATATGGATCTCAAAAACAATCTGGGAATTCATCCACACGCTAGAAACTAAAGGGTCTCGGACAGTGCGGTTTCCAAATAAGGATGAATATAAATGGAATAATTGGATCTGAAAAACAGTATGGGAATTCATCCACACGCTAGAACCTAAGCGGTCGGTTTCAGAGGAGCTTCCTCCCGCGTACACTTAGATTGTGGAACGAATTACCTGCCGAGGTTTTCTCATGAGACTACAGCATGATTTTTTCAAGGGTATATTAAGGTTTCTTACGGGTCAGCGTCTTACGTGAGCGTCGTAACACCCCTGATCTCCGTCCGTAGGCTACGGTAACCATTCACCATCAGGCATATGCTTGTTTGTTATAGTAGTATAAAAAAAAGTCTTTGAGACTCCAATCGTAATTATAAAACTTTACCTGACTGCTACAACCATTGGACATGTACCCGGACAATTCAATATGCCATTTCGCATTACCAATTACAGGGTTACAGTAATTTTACCCAAGAGGGCACTTAACGATCCTACAATATCTCGTCGGCATTTACTTCTGAGCTTCTGTGTTACCAAAAACCCGATATCGCAACATTAAAATAAACCACGATAAATTCCCCGATTCCTCAAGTACCTGGTCGATTTAATAGCACAGTTATTTAGTAATAAATACATTTCACTGGGTATAGTGTTCCTTTAACCGCAATTGAAGGACGGTTGTAACACGTTTACAAGTAACTAGCTGACCCGTGATGAATCGAACCCGCTACCAACGGAAGCTCAGTAGTGTGCTAAACCACCAAACCACCGAGGCCATCTGACTATATATACATAGTTACAAAGATATTGTATAAAGCAGGTCAGGATGCTGCACTTAATTGACTACATATCAAAATGGACGACGCATCAATCAATATTCAAATTACATTTTATTAAAACGGATAATAAAGTAGAAAATAAACTAGATCTGTCTTAGGTTATTGATAAACTGTTTAAGTTGGAGTATACTATTATATGAGTGACTGTTCAGTATAGGCAATGAAGACAACAACACTCATGATAACGCAGAACATCTCACAAAGCGCCATCTTGTCCCAAACTAACCAGAGCTGGCTATTGATAGACAACTGATACAAATTTTATTTTTTGTAATTCTTAGTAATATTATAAACGTGAAAGTTTGTGTGTATGGATGGATATATGGACCGATGTCTGTTACTCTTTCTCGCAAAAACTACTAACCGGATTTTGATAAAACTGCTAGTTTACCATCGGCTACAAGTCATTCCACCTTTTTTCTTAATTCTTTCTTTATACACATTCACACTTTTTTCTTAATTCTTTCTTTATATTTTTTAATGTTTAATGCTACATTAAAAAATATAAAGAAAGAATTAAGAAAAAAAAACGTCGACCACAATAGAACGTCATTCCACTACCATACATTAAAAATTATATAAAAACAATCTTTAACAATTTGAAAACTTTGACAACGATAAAACGTGCAATAACATCCAACTTTCTATTGATTGCACACACAATAGTTGCGAGAAAGTCCATTGAGAAGTTGAAATGTCCTCTTGAAATGTAGGTAATGTTTTCCACTCTATTCGCAAGTTAAACGTAATCATAGTAGTAAATCAACAGGAGTTTGTAACATAACTACCAATATTGAAAGGTTTTCATTTGTTATTGGATCGTCTTTCAAGGCATTGAAATTATCAGTAGTAGGTATATAGACAAAATAAGAATATAATTATTTTATGATATCAGAAGTAATTCTATTTTAAACAGACAACTTCCGTGATGTAGCGGTTTAACATACCATTTTACTTCCAATGGTCGTGGGTTTGATTCTTCGCACGGTAACATTTTGTAGTCATAAGTATGATTGGTCATATCGGTCTGGGTATGTTCTATGTACATTATGTGTGTATTAAAAAAAATGTACATCCTCTAGTATCCATAACAGAAGCTCTGCTTAGCTCATCTAGTCCTAGATGGCGCCGAGCGCTGTGTGAATTGTCCTGGCTTATTATGATGATTATTAAAAAAAACAATGTTAACATTTAAAGAAGCTTCAATTTACAGAAGGACAATATTCAAAATGGATACATCTTTTCTAATAAATTGATCTTAAAGAAATCTTTGAGTTAGCGTAGTGATTAATTCAAAAAGAAATAAATATCGCTTTAGTCCCATGTGACATGATATCACAATCCGATGTTTGTCCCATGAGAAAAAATCCGTCCAATTTATTTGCGGCCACTAAATTGCTTATACCTTTTGAGAATTGGACAAACAACAGTTACAACAAAGTGAAGTTCGAAACCGCAAACATTCGAGCGGATGCTCCATAGGTACTTACAACAAGTTTTGTTTTGAAATGTTGGATACGTAATATAAACAAAAATTGGTATTTATTTTCACAATAATATTAGAAATATGTTTATGTTGACGATTATAAATATTAGATGCAGATGTAATCCTTTAAGCTGTCTAACAATGACTATTAAGGTAAACAGAATACAAGAATTTTACCAATAGGTATCATAGTAAAACCATCGATATGAAAGATTTAAGTGTGTTTAACCAAAACGTAATAAATAGGAGAGCCTACCACTTAGATGGCATTGATTTAGAGCCCTGTGAATCGAAACATGAATCTACAGCAGTGACGTCAAGTGGCATGGCCTATAACATTATAGGTATTACGACAAACTGGGCTTGTCGCCTTATCGGCCGAACTAGCAATGCCTAATAGAATAAAACATGCAACCAGAAATCTTCCATACAAAACAAACAAAGCATT